GGGTCTGCCACGCCTCCTTCTGCCTGTTACATACATTTCAACAAAACCATTATACCCTGATTTCCCATTGAAAATGGGTTCAGGGTATAAAAAATCATTTCATATTCAGACCACGAAATTGCATCGTTCGTAGAGCTATGTCTCACACTCACACTGATTTCGTTGTGCTATTTTTCATTACCCTAGCCAGAAAATACCGAGCCGATCGAATACGAAGTTGATTGGTACCTACTAGACAGATTTTTCGTTGTTGAAAAACTTTGATCTACATGTCTAGTCTATGTGTTGTTTGGTTAGTGATTAAACACAATAAAGTTAAATTTAAAGGAGTGTACATTGATACCCAAAATTTTGTTTATGTGTATGTGTATATTGAAATAAGCTGCGAACCATTGTATATAACAGGCCGTCTATCTATATGAATGCTGACATCACGTAAGCTAGATTTACTATTGTACATGCGTATATACCATAATCAGTACGAGCTAAGCATTCATTTTTATCCGATTAGTTTGTGATCAATGATAATCGGTAGATTGGTATCGTTTTTTAAGCTTTATTTGAATTCACATACACATAGAGAAATTTCTGTGTTGGTCCAGGTAATGAATGCAAAGATTTTAATAAAAATTTTGAAGATATATGATTCTATTAAATTTGATCAAAAATCAAAAATAAATATCTTCGACATATTGACTATAAAATAGAATCTTAGCGATGCGTTGAAGGCGTAAAGGAGAGTTATATAGGAGAGTTAATAAGCCCCAGCAATCTAAGAATCTAATAGCGTGGAGAAAAATCAAATGCGCATTAACACTTTTATTCCTCCTCTTTCATATATTCGAAATAGACTAATCATTTGAAAACCCCGCCAATCTACAATATATTTACCTGAATGGTACTTGTGTAACATGCTGCAATGACAATGAATATATGGCGATGGCCACTGCACGTTCTCCACCAGATTGTATATATTTGTCCAAGGTTTGTAATTTTGCGTCCTTTCTATATTTGACCATTATTTGAATTCCATAAGAATCAAAATCGCTCTGAAAATTGAATATAATAATAAGATATTTTACCATCCCATTGTATATAGTTTAAATGTTTAATATACTGTAAAAAATTCAAAATTTCAGTTATACGACAATGAAATATTATTTTATCAGTGTAAGTGAAAATACAAAGTAGATGAACTATTTTAAGTAATAATATTATTTATGTCAGTTGTTAATACCTTATCCTTTCTTGATAAAATCACTTCGCCAACATACGATAAAGACTCCATAAACTCACTGAACTTTTTGTTTATTGTCTCAATCAATTTTGTGAGTTGTGGTTCCCACTTGTTGTATAAAGTAATCATTACAGCATCTAAATTTTTTTCTTGGGTTGATTTGGCTTCAATTGTTTTCCTTAATTCCTCTACCTCGGCTTGGCGATGTCGAAACTCCGCAATTACCTGTAATACCTTAACATTTATAAATTGATTTCAATTTTTGAGCAGGCTTTTCAAATATCACCTCTGAATTTAAATTTTTCATACAATCTAATCTAGCTTGATAGTCAAGAATTGCTTCATAAATCTGTTCCAGGCTAAGATTTCTTATCTTTTCAAAATCAGTTTTAAATGGAAAATCATTATTTGATGGTAGATTTCCATTGCAGAGGCACCGCAATTCCACAGCTTTAGAGTCGATTTGTTGTGATGTAATTTGTACTAATACTGTCAACCTGTTGACTAATGTCTGAAATACAAATTGATAAATTTACATGTATATTTATTTATTTTGTTTATGTAAATACCACGTACAGAGGCTTTTGAGAACTGATCTTCCCTCTCCTTTAGCTTATTAATTTGAGACGCATGTTGTTGTAAATGGGCCCTTTCCAATATATGATTAACTTTTCTTCCTTCAATTAATTTATCTGTAAGCTTTAACGACTTAAGTATGTTTTGCTCGATTTCAAAAATTGTTCTGAAATCCGATAACACAGAGTTTTGAAATTTTTGTTTGATCTGGTCCAAAGCTAAAAAGGAAAAAAAATAGAGCGAAGCAATTTAAATACATTCAACAAATTTGACCAAATTTTCCTTTACATACTTACAAGCAAATGATTGATTGATAGTGTTCACTTTTGATTGGAGCTTTTTTATTTCATCGGCCAAATTACTAAAATGAGATAATTTCTGTTCAATTTTCTTTTTTTCATCTCCTTCTTGGCGGAGAACAATTTGCAGGCGATCGAATTCATTATCAATGTCTTTTAACGTGTTCCTGATTTTATCCTTCTCTAATATAGCCTTCGCATGTCTGAAAGATTTTTATATTTATATAATTACTAGTTGACCAGGCGAGCTTCGTACCGCCTAACAGTCTCTCTATATATAAAACAAAGTCGGTTTGTTCAAACACTTATAGCTCAAGATATGCTGGACCAATTTTCATGGTTTTGGATTTGTTGGATTTGTCTTCGCCCCGAATATCAGAATATATCTTTAAAATGCTGAAAAATTGAGGAGTACTTGAAAAGTGCGGTATTTTCCCTAAAAGTTCTTTAATTTCGGAGCTGTCAAATTTTTTATCAAAATCAGTAAGTAATGTTGTGTTACCTTTTAGTTGAACTAATGCAGGCTTTGATAAACGTAGAACAAATATACAAAACAAGTAAGAAAGCTCTAGTCGAGACTGCTCGACTACGAGATCCCCTGCACCCTCCCTTTGAGCTAGCTATTTCAATCATTTTTTCGTGTCTTCTAACTTACACAAACACACACACGCATATACACACGCGCAAACACACACACATAACACGGATATACGGATAGATATGTGGGTGAGGGGGTGGATATAAGGGTGAGGGGTAAATTTTAGCAAAAACCGAAATTGTATAATCTGCATATAAATCTACATTACAAATTTGGAAACTTTTGCTTTAAAGTTGTAATTTTATAACTGATTTCCGAAACGTTTTTATATCGATAAAAAAATTGGGGCAAGTTATCGATTTTTAAAGCAAAACTCGATATCCGCGCGGTATACACGGACACTTTACAAAACAAGTAAGAAAGCTCTAGTCGAGACTGCTCGACTACGAGATCCCCTGAACCCTTGGAGTGCTAGCTATTTCAATAATTTTTCGCGTCTT